ACCTGGAATTTGCTGAATTTGCTGAGTGCAACTTAAATTTTAAAAGTCTCCTGAGCCTCACCTATTTCATGCCCTGCAAGTTGAATGGAAAAGCAAATAATCAGCATAAGCAAGCTGCATGGGTCCTTTCTTTTGGTCTCAACTGACTCCAGATCCAGTTGTGGAATTCCAGTCCTCCCCCCTACTTCCAGCTGTTCAGGCTCCCTGTCCAGACTTAAACAATCACCTCCTTTCCCCTTCTCAGATAATCAACAGCCGATTTTGCATATAACCTAGGACACTGTGGAACAAAAACTTTGGAGTGCAAAAAACCTCCCAGACTGACCAACCAAAAAATCCTCATATCCACTGATTTTCTAAGACATCCTGCTTTCTTTATATTGGTCTCCTTAGAACTTGAAAAATGACTTTAAAGTGATGAAGCTGATTTTACATGCATTGTGTAGACTTTCACTTATGCCAACCAAAGGCCCTTTGGGGGGTGCTGCTTCCCACTAACTTGTACATAGCATTGAAAGCAGGCAACGGAGTGAAGCAGAACTAAAGAACAGAAGTAGATACCCAGCCAGACTGGGACTCTGTTTTTAACAAATTCCTGGCAAATCTTCCCAGGAAAGATGCTGTATTATTGTTAGGTTTAGGGAAGAAAATGGGTATCATCTCTTCCCAGTCAGAATACATTTTGGTAATAATCTCAACTTTTGGAGAAGACAACATAGTATTGGCACCCGTGGCAGCCAGCTTGTCTCAACTATCTTTTATTTTATTTTATTTTACTTTTTTTGCTGACACAGTAATGGAGTACAGTTCAGAGAGACAAAAAGTAAGGATATTATAGCAAAGTTTTATTAAAGTGTTGCCAAGGGAGAAGGAGCCAGTCAAGAGAAAACATGGCCCCATTTCTTCCTGGTTTGGGGCATTGTCTGGTGATGAGCCCTTGATGCTCTTGATTGGCATTTTTTTTTAAAGATTTATCTTTATTTATTTATTTGAAAGTCAGAGTTACACAGAGAGAGAGAGAGAGAGGTCTTCCATCTGATGGTTCACTCTCCAGCTGGCCGCAATGGCCAGAGCTGTGCCGATCTGAAGCCAGGAGCCAGGAGCTTCTTCCGGGTCCCACATGGGTGCGGGGGCCCAAGAACTTGGGCCATCTTCTACTGCCTTCCCAGGCCATAGCAGAGAGCTGGATTGGAAGTGGAGCAGCCGGGACTAGAACTGGCGCCCATATGGGATGCCAGTGCTTCAGACCAGGGCGTTAACCTGCTGTGCCACAGCGCCGGCCCCCATGATTGGCATTTGTGATTGACATCTGGCTTTTCTTTCATGTGGCTGTAAACCAAAACTTTCTGGTTTGGCTGAGGCTGCATTTTAGCCACAAATTAAATTCAAAGAAGGCAGTTTTGGGTGAACCCCCCTTAGAGAACAGGGTCCTTGGTCTCACCCTTGGAGGAGGGTCTTTTTTGTGGCCCCTCCCAGTGACTCCTGTCTAATTATCTGCCTGACAGTATTGTTACAGAACAAGGTGGGTTTGCTCCCCACATGCTGTGTGATGTCAGTCTTTTGAGAGGAGAGAGCCTTTATTACTGACCAGTAAGGGAGCAGGAGAAATTGAAATCACGCCGCTACACAATGTCTTTGACACGGATGCTGGGTACTGTCATGTCCTAGTGTTGTAGGCAGGCATACAGGATAAAATTGATTAGGCTTGTGAACTGGAAGACTACACCTTCAGCACTGTGTGACCTCATGCCCTTACCAGGCCACACCTGTGTGCGCACCGGCCAATCAGACTAATTAACCACTCCCCTTTGAAAGTGGATTAAAGGCCTGGAACACAGTGGGCCCAGGCTTTTTTTTTTTTTTTTTTTTTTGGTCTTTTGCCTCTTTTGCCATTGCAGGCCACCATGACAGGGAACACTGAACCATCAAAGGAGCAAGCAAAGGGTGGGAGCTAGATTCTGGGCAGTCTCCCCGCCCTCTCCAGAAGAACCATGAATATTCCTCCCCTGTCTGAGAATGTACCTCCCATTTTATTAAACAATAGATAACTACAGCTCAAAGACAGGGCCAACTCCCCTTCAAAGGAGCTTGCACTACTGGGGAGTGTGTACTTCCATTTTCTCAATAAAATGCCTGCTACTATTTGCTATTCTCGAATTCCTTCTCAAGGCAAAGTCAAGAGCCAGGTGTTTGCTGTGCTGAACCAGCGGGATTTGGAGTCAATCAGGCCAGCTTGGAGTTTTCAGGTTTAGCAACGTTCCTGAGAATGCAGGAGCCTAAAGGAACAGTTCAAGATCAGTGTGATTAACAAAATCTCGGCACTGCACCCAGCCAGGCTACACTCTAAATCCCAGAGCTACCACTGATGGATTAGCCATGTTGGTCACCTTGCTGGTGCTTCATTTTTTTTTTTTTCCATTTGCAAAGGCAGAAATGATTGCAAGGATGGAATGAGAATACAAACGGGGGGACAAGCACAACGCCAGGCACACGGTAATCTAAGTCCCCTGCCCCTTTTAAGTCAGAGTTTGGATGATGAACATAAAGTAAATCTCCACCAAGAACTGTCTCTGACCCAAAGCACTGTTTTCAATGAAAAGGAGCTCTTGGTGGCCTAATGTTGTGACTGTTGATTGCACACATCTGGAAACTATGACAACTGCTTTGCTTTCTGCTCAACTTGGCCCAAATGTAGCTCTATATAAGGCAGCTTCTATCTTTCAGTTTTTCCCAACACATCATAGCTTGGCTTGAAGATGGGCAGAGGGGTAGGTGTCAAAGGAAATGCACAGTGTCTGGGAAGAATTCCGATTCCACTAAGAGTTACCAGTGAGGTACAGCCACACCGCGGCCCTGTCCCTGGGACTGTTGTGGATCATCTGGCACTGGAGATGTGTCAGAAAGCCTCATGTTCATGCCGCCTCTGCAGATGCTCCCGATGAGTCTGGGTAAAGGACTTTTCCAAAGTCACAGGCACAGTCGGTCATGGACTTGGGGTGGGATTCCAAGCTTTTTGACATGGGATAAAACAGGGCAGGGGAATGAGCAGTGTTGCAAGATTTGCAACTATCACACCTGCCTGCCAGAGTCTACTTAGAGTTGACATCACCAGCAACAAGTGCTGGAAGGCAGGGGACCGGAGGGACCAGGGAAGTTTGTTTGTTTGTTTGTTTTTGCCTTTAGAAATTCTGTGTCCAGACCCTCTGTCCACTACCTAACACATCAATTGGGTCAGGTAGTCAGACAGGGCTAATGAAACATGCTTAGTTTTTTTCATTGTTATAATGCAATACCTGGGACCAGCTAACTCCTTTAAGAGATCTTTCTAGGTCACAGTTCTGGAGGTTCGAGGGCATGGCATCTGCATTGGCTCAGTTCGGTGAGGGCCCTCTGGGCTGTGTCACTTCATAGTCACAGCAACGGTGAGAGCACAGCACTGGACAGAGAGCAGGAGAGCTGCATGGGCCAGCTTCAGGCTATGAACCACCAAGGGAACACAGAACTACCTTAATGCCTTCCTAAGGGCAGCACCTCTAATGACCTAAAGACCTCTCACTAGGCCCCACCTTTTAAAGGTCTCACCCCCTCCCCATACCTCCCCCTACCCCCACCCCACCAAGCCTCCAACACAGGAACTTTGAGGGAGAAACAGACAACTATAACACAACTATACCACACGCCATGGAAACAATATCTGCCCACAAATTTTAAAAACAGCTTGTAAAGCGCTTCCAGCATCGTTTAATCTTTTGGAGTTTTTTGGTTTGCTTTATGTTGATGGTTCAGAAGGTATTTCAGGATAGCATTGTTATGCATTTATTCTACAAATATTTGTTAATCCACCTATTACGTGACATTTAAGCACTGTTCTAGGTGCTGAGCATACAAAAACTCTTCCAAGTTTCCTCTGTTGTAACAGATTGAGTAGTGATAAATTCAGATTTTTTGGACAAAGAATTCTAACAAATTAAAGTCATCTTTTTAAAAAATATTGTTTAAAGACATATGCAACTATTCTGATGGGAATTCCTCTGTGGGCTTATTTGGTAACTTTTTTTCTTTTTTTTTTTTTTTTTCACCTGAAAAGCTTCCATTTTTCAATTGCTCCTCTGGTTTCCAGGAGGACCCCTTTGTTTCCAGGAGCCAATTCTGAGTCCTAATGTGCTCTGCATCATCTCCTGTTCTGTCCACTGTCAAGGGAAGACTCCCAGAGCATGCGGCTGAGCACAACCCTGATTGGATGTTAAACTGTAAGAGAGTAATGTGCTGCCAGAGTTTGAAAAAAAAAAAAACCTACCAGAAAACTGGAATACAGTATTACAACTCTCCCTCCGAATCAAAAGCCTAGTAAATGAAATTAGGACCATTATTCAAGTGCAATTATACGAAGTCAAATTGAAACACCAAAAATAAATCATACATTTGGATATTACATTTCATATTTGAGAACATGCCAGGAGTTTTATTATTGCTGAGTGTAATGTCAGGAGACAAACTTCTACAAATTGTATACATAACTTTTTCCATTTTATCTGCTTTCCATTTATGTCAAGTTGAACACATGGTATGACTTTTAATATTCTCTTTCCCTTCTCCTTCCCCATATTTAATGCCAAGTGAACAAACTTAATCTTGATTATCCTAAATTTGCCCTTCAGTAACCTCAAAACCAAGAATGTTTTTAAAATTAGTATGGAAAAGGAGAGAGAGGAAGAACTTCCAAATGAACCTGATGGGTTTGATGGATGCTAACCAATGGCCCGTAAAGAAGACCAGCGAGCGGTGAATTATGGAAGACAACGCGCTACAGGCAGTTCTGGCCAGCTCGGGAATCAACTCCTGGAAAGTCGGTTATAAACCCAGGGACTGTGGATGTTAACGTAAATAAGATCTCCCAGATGTGGAGGCCTTAGCCGGCAGGGGCTCCCTGCGCCGGAGCGGGGACAGAGCTCCGCTTTGAGGATGAACGCGGGGACATCCCGCGTCTCCTCGTGGGGGCGCCTGGGCGCAGGCGCAGTGGCAACGGCAGCGCTGGCGGCGTTAGCGTTAACAACTGCCGGGCCAGGATGGCGTCCAGCTTCAAGAAGCCGAACTCGGCTCCCGCCAGCCAGAGGAAGAAGTCGGGTCCGAAGCCCGAACTCACTGAAGATCAGAAGCAAGAAGTTCGAGAGGCGTTTGACCTCTTCGATGCCGATGGAAGTGGCACCATCGACGTGAAGGAGCTGAAGGTGGCCATGAGGGCGCTGGGCTTCGAACCCAGGAAGGAAGAGATCAAGAAAATGATCTCGGAGGTGGACAAGGAGGGCACGGGGAAGATCAGCTTCAACGACTTCCTGGCTGTGATGACTCAGAAGATGGCCGAGAAGGACACCAAAGAAGAAATCCTGAAGGCTTTCCGGCTCTTTGATGACGACGAGACGGGGAAGATCTCTTTCAAAAACCTCAAGCGCGTGGCCAACGAGCTGGGCGAGAACCTCACGGATGAGGAGCTGCAGGAAATGATCGACGAGGCTGATCGGGACGGGGACGGCGAGGTGAACGAGGAGGAGTTTCTGAAGATCATGAAAAAGACCAGCCTCTATTAAAGTCGCTGGCACGGGACGCCATTCGCCCGAGTTTTGTGAGACTGTCACTTTGAGGGCAGTGGCTGTCTCTAGCTCTTCTTTTTCCTCCTAATTTGTCTTGATCAATTTCCAAACCTCTAGCTCAATTACAGACTTTGAAAGATGCATGCAACATGAGTTTTGGTTTTTAATTCTCAAGAGCAGACCTGGAGTACATTAGGTTAAAGTGCATCCGTTATTTTCCTCGCGAGTGTGGACATCTATCAAACTAAAACCAGGACAGCTTCTTGGGACGAGCAGAAATAGGGTTCCCTTGTCACTTCTTTGGTGGTCTTAGATGATCTTGCTTCATATATGATTTCTTCAGTTGAAGCCATTATCCTAGCATAATCATTTAACTACTGATTTAAAGGAAACTGGAATGGCGATTTAAGAACTTACTGAGCTCAGGAAAGGTACCAAAGTATAGGCTTGCCTGTGGGTGGTAGTGAACTGTGCAATTTAGACTATTTTCTGGCTTCCTCACATATGTATGATTCTTTGTGTATAAATTATCTACTGTGAGCAGTGCAGGACCACTATGTGTACCTGGGCTATTGAATAAAATTTGATGAAGACGTTAAGCTAACAATTTTGAGTATTTACAAAAGTAAGATCTTCATTTAAGCAATCGTAAAAAATGTCAAATACATTTTAAGCTACTTATCTGTTCTTGAAAAGATCAATGAATGTTTTAGGCATTATAGCACTAGAACATAACTTAGCCATTTCATTACTGCTTAATTACAAGGCGCTATCCACCTACCTGTTCTTAGAACATCATAACTGGAGGTAATTGAGCCCCCCCCCCCCCCCCGACCCCTGATGTACTTTAGACATTAGAGTGTCTGAGATACAGATAGTTCTCTGGTTCTCTATTTTATACATTTTAGTAAATTCACTGTGATTTGCATGTGTGTAAATAATATTACTTGTTCTTTTATAAATTAACTCTTTCTTGCTTTGAAATAAAGATGCCTACTCTTAAATAATTGAAGTTAGAGAAAATTTAAATAATGTGACTGTGGGAAGATAATATAATCTGTTTGCCAAGATGGAAGCTTTCACTAAGGTTTTGGAAATAGGCAACAAAGTTATTCAAGGGGCTAGATATTTTGGTCACAACTAAATCTAAGTTAAAACTTCATGTAAAGTCCTATTGAGATAAATGCTCAAATTCTAGAAATTTTTTTTACTTGGTTTGCCAGCAGTTCTGCTCTTCAGAGGATAGTAGATCTAATCAGGAGAATGATGAGTGTTCTTCAAAAAGTTCATGGAAAAACAGATTTAAAATATGTTTATTTTGGAGCAAAATTTTTTGAAAGTCATGCATAGTTTTTTTCCATACTACACATTTTCCAGGAACTTTTTGAAAATCTTCATAGTATTATAGTCTCAGTTCTCAATGACAGGGACAAATTTGCCAAACCAACAGAACTGACTACAGTGATGACTACATGGACATTCATTGTGAAACAGGATTTTGTTGAAGTGGCTGGCACAGGGCAGGGGAACTCTTGGGCTGCAGAGACTAACAGTTGCAAAGCCTTGGGCTCAAATCCAGTTGTCATGGAAACAAGTACAACTTGGGCCAGCATTCACATGAAGGGCCTGCTCGGAGAGCAAGAGGAAGCATATGGGAATCTGGCGTCCTTGTTGAGCAGTGTGTTGGCCCAAGGGTGGACATATGCATTAAGTAGAAATACTGGAAGCAAAGGTGTCAGAAACTAGAAGCAAGGGTCAGCGCCTCAGTCAACTGGACGAGGCTAGCTTTGGTTCGTGGTCCAGTAGAGGATAGAAGTGAAACACAGGCTGGTGTTGTGGCATCAGGGGTTAAGGTGCTCCTACAGTGCTGGCATCCCATACAGGTGTCAGTCTGAGTCCAGGCTGCTCTGCTTCCAAACCAGCTCCCTGCTAATGCACCTGGGAAAGCAGTGGAAAGATGGCCCAAGTGCTTGGGCCCCTGCACCCACGTGGGAGACCTGGATGAAGCTCCTGACTTCAGCCTGGCCCAGTCCTGGCCACTGTGGGCATTTGAGTATGAACCAGCAGATGAATGATCTCTCCCTCTCTCCCTCTCTCTCTCTCTTTCTGCTTTTCAAGTAAATAAAATTTTTCTTAAAAAAAAAAAAAAAAGTGAAACACAGAAACCCAGGCTGAAGCCCAGCAGTCAGTCCAGCTGGCTGCACTGTGGGGCCAGTTCTGGAGGCTGCAGCAGAATACTTCAAGGGGCGGCCTAAGGGCAGGATCCATCCCACACAAGGGGAGGGGCTTCGGAAGGTTTCTGAATCCTCCTCATTCCTAAGGAAGAATCCCTCATTGTTGCCTTTTCCTGCTTCTCCAAAGAGGGGGTAGAGCGAAGTGGGAGGGCTGGCTGGACAGGCCTAAACTGACTCTAGAATTTTTAAAGAAATTAGTCATCTACTGGTTGGGTTAGACATGTACCCTAGACGACAAAAGCAGAACCTAGAAAATACAAAGAATTTATGGAAACCTTTTTGCAGATGAGGAAACATAGCTAAGAACATTTGGGAAGGATTAAAAATGTAATTTTTCACTGGGCTATTACAGATGGCCCCAATTAAAAAAAAAGAGCAAGAAGCAAACCAAAGAAACCCAAGTGGGGCCGGCACTGTGGCATAGTAGGCTAAGCCTCCATCTGTGGTAACGACATCCCTTACAGGCACCGGTTCATATTCTGGCTGCTCCACTTCCAATCCAGCTCCCTGCTATGGCATGGGAAAGCAGTAGAAGATGGCCCAAGTGCTTGGGCCTCTGCATCCGCGTGGGAGACCCAGAAGAAGCTCCTGGCTCCTAGCTTTGGATTGGCACAGCTCTGGCTGTTGTAGCCATTTTGGGGAGTGAACCAACGGAAGGAAGACCTCTCTCTCTATCTCTCCTTCTGTCTGTCTATAACTCTGCCTCTCAAATAAATGTTTTTTTAAAATTGTACTTAAGTTATACAAGTTTCCTATATTTCAATACACAGATTTAGGAACACAGTGGTACTTCCCAGCTTGCCCTCTTGCTCATGCTCCAACACCCCCCCCCCTCAGATTCCCACTCTTAAATCTTACAAAGATCTATTTTCAGTATACTTATTGATTGTATAGTTAACCCTACTCTAAGTAAAAGAGTTCAACAAATAGTATGAAGAGAAAAACAAACAAACAAAAACAAAAAACACTGCTCCTCAACAGAAGAGACCAGGGCTGTAAACAATCATCAAATCTCAAAGTATCTATTTCATTCCAATACATTACGTTTTAGGTACTCTATTAGTTACCTTGGATCAGGGAAAACTTATGATTTCTGTCTTTTGGGACTGGCTTATTTCACTAAGTACAGTGGTTTCCAGTTGTTGCAGAAGGCAGGATTTCATTTTTTTTTACAGTTGAATAGTACTCTGTAGTGTATATATGTACCATAATTTCTTAAAAAAATAAAAAAGAAACCCATATGACCATGTAAAATTCTTGTGGATGAGCTCTTGCTTTGTGATATAATCTGAAAACAAGAGCATGGGGCCAAGGATGAAAATGCAAAAGTCTCAAGGAGCAGGCATTCAACACAGCAGTTAAGATAACTACATCTCACGTCACAGTGCCTAGCTTTGATTCCTGGCTTCAGCCTCTTGCCCACGTAGATCCTGGGAGACAGCCGTGACGGTTCAACTAACTGGGTTCCTGCCACCAATATGGGAGACCTAGAACCTGTGTGGTAATTTGGCCCAGCCCAGTCATCGTAGGCATTTGTGGAATGAACCAACGAGAGGGACACCCCACCACCTCTCTCTCTCTCTTTCTACCTCTCAAATACAAAAGTAATTTTAAAAGATATCACAAAAGCTAATGCCCCAAATAAACAGAATTTAAAGGGTTCCCCCCTGCCTTGAGGATAAGAAATGTTATGTTTAAAATAAGAAGATATAGGAAGGGGTAGGCTCAACTCTTGAAACTGCTGCAGGTTGGTTGCCCTAGGAAGCAGACTCAGTCTGAGATATGTGTGCAGGAAATCCAAGTGTGGAGGAGGAGAGATAGCAGGACCAGAGTGGGGGTGGGGAGGGGAGGGTTGGGCTGTGACCTAATTACAACGAAAGCCTCAAATGATCTCACAGGGAACTCTGGAACTAGGGTGCCTGGCCCCGAAGAGACATTCCAAATTGGGACAAGGAAGTTGGACTGTTAAAATTTCTCATTGATTGACAATCATTGGGCATGGGCTGCAGTCAAGAAGAAGCTATGACCTTAGGCAAGGTGGCTTTCTTCTTCAACCAAGGGCAATCTCTGGGAAGGAGAACACAGCTACAAACTGTCAGCCATCAACACTCTCAGCACTGGGACAATGGAACACTTCAATTTAAAGGTTTAGGGCTGGGAGTGGGTGTTGGGTGCACCAGGTTAAGCCACCTCTTGGGTGGCCCACATTCCATACTGGAGTGCCTGGATTTGAGTCTTGCTTCCACTTCTTTTTTTTTTTTTTTAATTTATTTGAAAGGCAGAGTTACAGAGAGACAGAGAGAGAGAGAGAGAGAGAGAGAGAGAGAGAGAAGCCTTCCATCTACTGGTTCACTCCCCAGATGGCTACAATGGCCGGAGCTGCACTGATCTGAAGCCAGGAGCCAGGAGCTTCTGCCAAGTCTCCCACATGGATGCAGAGTCCCAAGCACTCGGACCATCTTTCACTGCTTTCCCAGGCCAAAGCAGAGAGCTGGATTGGATGTGGAGCAGCCGGGACTCAAATTGGCACCCATATGGGATGCCAGCACTAGGGCTGAGGCTTTACCCGCTATGCCACAGTGCCAGCCCCTGCCTCCAGTTCTGATTCAGTATTGTACTAATGTGCCTGGGAGGCAGCAGATAATGGTCTAGTACTTGGGTCCTTGCCACTCACATAGAGACCCCAGCCCTGGTTGCTGTGGGCATTTGGGGAGTGAAGCAAAGAATGAAAGAGCTATATCTCTCCCTCTTTCTGTCATTCTGCCTTTCAAATAAACAAATAAAACTTAAAAAAAAAAAAAAACAGCAAAATGCAGGGACAGGGAAGGGTTGTGCAGTTGAAGGGGTGGTTGCTTCTGAGGGAGTCCCCCATAGCTTCCACTACAGTCCATGCCTTGCACCACTTAG